CAACACTGCTAGGACAACCAGCTAAAAAGGACAAATTTGAATCAAGCTAACAAAGTATTCTTTCTACCCAATGCTGGGGGTGGAGGGTGGGGGTGGAATTTACAACTGAAATGTTTTGTTACTATGCAAATGATATTACTCTTTATGAAGTATATGGTTATAACTTTTGTAACCTGGAAAATGTACATCCTCCCCCTCCCTCTCCCCCTCGCCCTGGTTATGAGAGAATAAAGCACATTGTTTGGGAAATAGCTTCGAAGAGAAAAAAAAAAAAAAGCCTGCATAAAGTAGTTTCTTAAAGCTCTGGCCTGGTGACTCAGTTAGTTGGAGTGTCCTCCCATACCTAGTGGGGAGGGGGGGTATAGGAGGCAACAGATTGATGTTTCTCAATCAATGTTTTTCTTCTCTCTCTCTCTCTCTCTCTCTCTCTCTCCCCCTCTCTCCCTCCCTTCCTCCCTCTCTCAAATCAATAAAAACAAATCCTTGGGTGAAGAGTCAAAAAGAACAATAATTTTAAAAAGTAGGTTCTCATCAGTGACTGTTGAGTTGAATTGAACCTAAGAGCCTGTTTTTTGTGTGTGTTTGTTTTTATTTTGGAGAGAGAAATATCAATGTTTAGGAGGGCTGGTTGAAAGGTTTGAAGCTATGTTTGCATGTACTAGTACAGGGGTGGGCAAACTTTTTGACTCGAGGGCCACAATGGGTTCTTAAACTGGACCGGAGGGCCAGAACAAAAGCATGGATGGAGTGTTTGTGTGAACTAATATAAATTCAAAGTAAACATCATTACATAAAAGGGTACGGTCTTTTTTTTTTTTAGTTTTATTCATTTCAAACGGGCCAGATCCGGCCCGCGGGCCGTAGTTTGCCCACGGCTGTACTAGTATGTTCAGATAAACATCAATTGTCCACACCAAAGAAGAGTACATTATGGAAGTCCCCAAACCCATCTCCCCACTCCTTAGCCTTTCCACCATCCAGGCTTCACTTCAAATTTAGCACACTAAAGACGGGCCCAGTAAGGGCTAGTTCTCCTTAAAATCAGCCCACCTTCCCCAACCTCCTCACCTATTTAAGGCAGTCAGGTTAAAAACATTGGAACTTTGTTAAATTCTTCTCCTCCGCATTCACCCTCCCATTACCCAATTAATCATCAAATCCTGTCTACCCTTCCTTTATAATGCCTTGGAAACTCTCCATTCTTTTCTCTTCTGGCAGGACAGAGCTAGAAGATGGGAATCCACATACAGGTAAAAAAAAAATTACAGAAATATAAAAAAGTGCAAAATAACATAGTTGCAAACAAGCTTTTATACCCATCCTGGGAAACAACACTGCATTTGTCTTGTGAAATTCAGAGCAGTTGGGGTTCCTTCCTTAGGTTCAGGGGTGTGGGAGGCCTTTGCTAGTCCAGCTCAGGATACTTTGATTCCAGCCACTCCTCCCTCGACTGAAGATCAGGAAACCTTCATTTCCAGATGAACCAATCCCCACTCAGAGCATGGCACATATATATCTAATCTAAACTAGTGTTGGCATAATTTATTAGGAATATTTTATTTTGAGTTTATTCTTGTGTATGGTATAAGTTGGTGGTCTAGTTTCTTTCTTTCTTTCTTTTTTTTTTTTTTTGTACTTGTCCAATTTTCCCAACAGTATTTATTGAAGAGACTGTCTTGACTCCATTGTATGCTCTTGCCTCCTTTGTCAAGTATTAATTGAGCATAATTGCTTGGGTCAATTTCTGGCGTCTCTGTTTTGCTTCATTGATCTATATGCCTGTTCTTGTGCCAGTACCAGGCTGTTTTGATTATAGTGGCTTTGTAGTATAACTTGAAATCTAGTATTGTGACCCCTCCACCTTTGTTCTTCTTTCTCAAGATTGCTGCTGCTATTCGGGGTCTCTTTTAGTTCCATATACATTTTTGGAGTGTTTGTTCTAGGTATGTGAAATATGCTGTTGGTATTTTAATAGAGATTGCATTGAATCCACAGATTACTTTGGGTAGTATGGACATTTTAATGATGTGGATTCTACCAATCCATGAACATTGTATAATCTTCCACTTGTTTATATCTTCCTCTGTCTCTTTTTTTAATGTCCTATAGTTTTCTGAGTACAAGTCTTTTACCTCCTTGGTTAAGTTTATTTCTAAGTATCTTCATTTTTTTATTGCAGTGGTAAATGGGATTGTTTTTTTAGTTTCTCTTTGTGAGAGTTCTTTATTGGTGTATAAAAATGCCATTGATTACTGGGTGTTAATTTTCTATCCTGCTATGTTGCCAAATTCATTTATTAAATCTAGTCTCAGACATGTCTCACAGCAATATGTTTGCCGATACACATTCTAGTGCAAGGGAAACTAAGGGGAAAATAAACAAATGGGACTACATCAAGATAAAAAGCTTCTGCATAGCAAAGGAAACCATCAACAAAATGAAAAGGGAGCCCACTGTATGGGAGAACATATTGCCAATAAGACATCTGATAAAGGATTAATACCCAAAATACATAAGGAACTCATACAACTTAACAAAAGGAATACAAACAATCCAATTGAAAAATGGGTAAAAGACCAAAATAGACACTTCTCCAAAGATGGCCAAGAGACATGAAAAAATGCTCAAAGTCACTAATCATCAGAGAAAGGCAAATTAAAAAGACAATGAGGTATCACTTCACACCTGTCAGAATGGCTATCATCAACAAATCAACAAATGACAAGTGCTGGTGAGGATGTGGAGAAAAGGGAACCCTAGTATACTGCTGGTGGGAATGCAGACTGGTGCAGCCATTATGGAAAATAGTATGAAGTTCCCTCAAAAAATTAAATATGGAACTGCCATTTGACCAAGTGATCCCATTTCTAGGAATATATCCTAAGAAACCCGAAACACCAATCAGAAGGAATATATGCACCCCTATGTTCATAGCAGCACTATTGTTCAATTTACAATAGTGAAGATCTGGAAACAGCCCAAGTGTGCATCAGTAGATGAATGGATAAAAAGCTGTGGAACATTTATATCATGGAATACTACGCAGCTATAACAAAGAAGGACCTCTTGCCTTTTGAGACAGCATGGAAGGACTTGGAGAGTATTGTGCTAAGTGAAATAAGCCAGTCCGAGAAAGACAAGTCTCACATGATCTCACTCATACATGGAATCTAATGAACAAAATAAACTGATGAACAAAATAACCCAGAGACATAGAAGCATGGAATAGATTGAGGAATCTCAGAGGGGTTTGGAGGGGGGGGGGCGTAAGGGGGAGAGATTAACTGGGGAAGTTATATGCATATATGCATTGCCCATGGACACTGACAATAGTGTGGTGAAGGCCTGGGGGCAGGTGTGGGGTGCAGGGGGTCAATGGGAATGAAGGGGGGCATCTGTAATATTTTCAACAATTAAAAAATACCTTTTCTTTTTTTTAAAAGAGTATTTAATGGCAAATTAAAAAATTCTTTTGTTTATATTTTACCTTCACCTGGACAGAAGCTCATTCTTCTGTATTGTTACTGCTCCTCCCCTTCCCCATAGCAACCAACATAGGGTTCTGCAGTTTGTAGTCTACAAATAAAATGTTTGTTAAATCATAGAGCCTTCGAATTTTAGAGTCAGAAGGAATCTTGGGAATTCCTCTGGTCCAATTCTTTACTCTACCGATGAAGAAGCCAGTCTAGAGACATGAGTTGACTTGCCCAAATTCACATAGTTGGCTGGTGGGAAAGGACCAGAACCCAGGTTTCTCCCGCTTTGAAGTCCCTACCTTAAATGGTCCTTAGATAATCATGACAGAAATATCTAATTTTACATAAGGTCTCCCAGGGATGGTGGTGAGAGGGGTGATTTGCTTTGGACTGAAACGTTTACAGAGATTCGGTCCCTCGCAGGACCGCCCTGGAGTCCTAACTCAGCTGGGTGTCGGGGAGGGTCACAGTTACGTGTTTAGGAGTCTGTCGCCTAATCCAGGTTCTTCTGACAGGAAGGCGCACACCAGGGCCCCCACCCAGGGGGCTCCCTCCCGGCCCCTCCCAGGCTGCCGTCTG